TTACCTCATCTCCATAGTTACTATTTGCAAATTGTCAATAATATTGTAGGTCCATTTTATTGTTGTTCTTTCTACGCCGTTATAACACATTTTCATCTCATCATTTAATTTCTGTAGTGCATATATTGTTGTGTAGATTCATCAGGTTGAAAACGAATAGATAGATAGATAAATCGATATGTAGTGCCATCTAGTGTACCTAAATTAATTTAGAAAATTTCATAAAAGTAACCCGAAAAACGGGGCTAACTCGGTAACCCGTGGCCCGATTTTAATGAAACTTATTTTATTCTGTTTCTATTCTCATTTCATTACAAATATGGTGGTATTGTGTGCCGTTTTTGCTGTATTTAATTACAGACAAGCCCACAAACAAACAATCTTAGAGTTTTAGTAGTATATAGATAAACACTGTAAGTACTCAAAATCTTTGTTTTCGAAGTATTTTTTATTTAGACGTCTATGTTTTAATGAAAATAACTAAAATTTAAGCATTTGTGAATAAAGAGTATTTATTGGTTGATGAATAAGCTTGCTGAAAGGGAAATAAGATTTTATATCTATGACTCCTTTTTTATGTTAAGGGCACCTTGCTTTAGAGGGCATTTGTACAGTCGGAAATGTGCCCTTAATGTCGAGGTTCCACTGTATGTATCGATCGCTACATCCTATGGAATAGTATTATGAATACTAAACATTATGAGAACCACATCCTATGATCTTTTATACTGTCCTATACAGATGCAATTGACCCCTAATGATTAATGATGCTATGGTATCAGCTCTTTCAGAGGAGAGATCAAGAGTACACCAGGACGTAATCAAATCTCAGATTTTGACTATGCAATATTGGTGGCAGGTTGCCCTTCCTGTTCGTGGTAACCCCACTCCATAATGAAATGTAAGTATGTAAAATCGTCTCTACAAAATTATCATTTATGACAGCTTGAATGAACAATAGTATTTATTTCAGATCTGTGTCTTTCGCCTATCGAAAAGTTTTACAATGAGCTATCTGTGCTGTATTCACCAAAGATTGAATCCCGAATTTTAGCATTATAAGATCTAAATCTTTTCATGGAGCCACGGGGTGGGGTGGGGCACATGACGGATCTTCAGAGGCCAAATTTTTATGAAAATAAACTGAGGTGACTAATATATATTTGTATTACAATAATGGTTTTGACTTGTCATAACAGAAGTATTACACAGCTTAAAGTGATAGTATAGTATTAGTATCCTCAATACTAATTCTAACACATACATGAGATTGTTATATTATAAAGATTTGGGAGCTTCACCAATCTTTATAATCCATGCCACCAAATCCGGTCATGCTCTATCTGACGATCATGCATCTCAACTACATTTACTATTCGCGTAATTTCCATTATAAAAGACTGTCATGTCTAAATTACACTACTCCCTTCTGCTTACTTTTCATAATCCATCTGGTGTATGAGGATAACAGTTTTCCAGCATCCACCGACTTGACTGTCATGTCTTCATTTGGAATAGCGCAAATACTCCTTTCTTCTCCAACTGCTTAAGGTATGCGATGGTTAAACATCAGGTACAACTGGAAGCCTTATCTTGGGAAACCAATACCCTGTTGGCTTGGTTTCAAGGACTAGATGCTTCTTGATTACGTTGTCTACTATTGCTTAGGGCACCTGGACGGCTTCTGTCTTTGACTTTTGTGTTCACGCTCATCACGACTAAGGCATGACTTAATTGTTGCAGGTCTCTTTTTGAATGATCCTGGTTGATCCAAATTCCTTTGTTTTCCAGTGTCATTAAGTACAAGGGATATGACAGTGTTGTAAATTTTAAATCATTCCTCTGAATATATCTGTAGGATCTAAGTGTATGAATAGTTTCCATTCCATTGATTTTCAGTGGT